CTCTGGGCGACAGAGTGAGACTCCAACTCAAAAAAAAAAAAAGAAATATTGGAGGAGGAGGTGGTGTCTGGGGGGACTAGCAGAGGTGCACAGGCATGACCGCTGAGAAGGGCAGAGGACCCATTTACCAGGCAAGGACAGGGAAGACAGTCACGTGAGAGGGTAGGGTGGTGTGCAGAGGTGGGGGTACGGTGCAAAGTTCTGTGTATACAGTAGGAGGCCAGGAAGAGTGGGAGATGGCATGGGAGAGGGGGCAATGATCAGAACGGGGGGCCTCGGGACCTGCTGATGGGCGTCTCCTTGCTTTATCGAATTGTAGTCTTAGGGACAGTTTGGTTGGGAGACATGCATTTACATGAACGGGCAGCAAATCCAGCTGGCTCAGTTTGGGGCAGGTGTCCACTCCAGCTGTGGCTGGGGTCAGGGTCGCCCGATACAGAGAACTGGTTCTCAAAGCTCAGCGTGTACCAGAGCCCCCTGGAGGGCTGGTCACAGCAGAGAACGTGGCCCACCAGTCAGTTTCTGATCCACAGGTCTGGGATGGGACCCAAGCATCTGCATTTCTAATCATGCTCAGGTGATGCCAGTGTAGCTGGTCCCTGGACCTCCACTTTGAGAACGACTGCTGCAGAGGGTTCCCCCTTCTAGGAAGGAGGCAGGTCCTCTGAGAAGGGGGTGTGCCCCGGAGGGAACAGTGGGTGCCGTGAGTGCAGTCGCGAGCTCTGGGGGTGGCTGGGCAGACTCGCATACCGGCTGAAGGGGCGGGGTGGGGGGTGTGGACAAAGTTCTCCTATACCGTGACCTGTCGCCTTCAGAGCAGAGCTGCAGCAGGCCCGGCCCCTGGAGGGCACGTTCAGCCCCATCTCCTTCAAGCCAGGCCTCCACCAGGCTGATATCAAGCTGACTGTGTGGAAAAGGCTCTTCCGGAAAGTTCTGCCAGGTGAGGCCCCAGACCAGGATGGGCAGCAGTTCATCGGCTGCATCAGAGTTTAAGCTGCAGAGAGCTCAGAGGGAGGTTGGCATAGGGTCACGGTAAGAGCATGAGACCAGCTGGGCTCGGTGGCTCAGCCTGTAATCCCAGCACTTTGGGAGGCTGAGGTGAGTGGATCGCCTGAGCCCATGGATTCGAGACCCGCCTGGGCAACTTGGCAAGGCCTCATCTCTACAATAAAATCAAAAATTAGCCGGGCGTGGTAGCGTGCGCCTGTAGTTCCGGCTACTTGGAAGGCTGAGGCGGAAGGATCGCCGGAGCCCAGCAGGCAAGGCTGCGGTGGCCGGGAGCGGCCACTGCACTCCAGTCTGGGTGACAGAGTGAGACTCCAACCTAAAAAAAAAAAAAAAAAAAAAGAGTGTGGGACCGGGCTTCCCCTGGACAGCCTGGGCTCACACTCATCTATCTCTACCCCTTACCAGCCGGGTGACTGGGCAAGTTGTGTAATTTCTGGGCCTCAGGATCCTCATCTGTAAACAAAGGCTATTAACACCCACCTGGCTGGGCTGTGTAGTTTATATATATAGATAGTGTGTATGTGTAGTTTAGTGTTTAATAAATGATAGCTGTTAGTGCTTAGTACATGGTAGCTCTTAGCCAAAAAATAACTCAAGGATGTTTAATTCCTTTATTACTAACATGCTGTATTGCACATAAGGGAGATCGACCACAGACTGAGTTCATCCACCAAAGGTAAAAACAGGGTTGATAGAAAAGAAAAAGAAAAAAGAAAAAGGAGGTGGTCACGCCTGTGACCAGCACTTAGGAGGTGGAGGTGGGAGGATTGCTTGAGGCCAGGCATTTAAGACCAGCCCGGGCAACACAGCAAGACCCTGTCTCTACAAAAAAAAATAAAATGGTTAATTGGGTGTGGCGGCAGACACATGTAGTCCCAGCTACTCAGGAGACTGAAGTGGGAGCATCATCTGAGTCCAGGAGTTTGAAGTTGCAGTGAGCTATGATTGTACCACAGCCCCGTAGCCTGGGTGACAGAGTGAGACCCTGTCTCAAAAAATAAAAATAGGCTGTGCTCGGTGCCTCTGCCTATCATCCCAGCACTTTGGGAGGCCTAAACCATGGATTTGAGACCACCCAGGCAACTCGGTGAGACCTCATCTCTACAATAAATCAAAAACTAGCCAGGCATGGTAGCACATGCCTGTCGTTCCAGCTACTTGGAAGGCTGAGGTGGAAGGATCACCGGAACCCAGCAGGTCGACACTGGGGTGGCCGTGAGCTGTACTCCAGCCTGGGCAATGGAGTGAGATTCCAACTACAAATAAATAAATACAATAAATAATAAAAATAAAAATAAGGAAAGAAAAGGGGAGGGGCAGGGGAAAAACTGCAGGCTTGTGAACAGTGAATCTTATTTGCACTTTTCACATTTTGGGTAAACTGATTAGCTAGAAGCTAGCAAAAAGCTCAGTTGAGGAGTCTGTCCTTGAGAGGCTGACTTTAGCAGATAGACAGTTGCGGTTGGTATGGAAAACCCGGAGGGCTGGGCACAAGGGCAGGTGTCTTCCAGGTCCTCAGGCAGGCTGGCCAGCCTGTGCCTCCCCTTATCAGTGTTAAACCCAAGATTTTAAATCTGAGAGACCACAAAGAGCCAGCTCCAATGCAAACACACGAGGGTCTTTATTCAGGCTCGAGTCTGGGCTCACGTTTGAAGCCGACGTAGCGGCTACAGGGACGAGAGCCCTGATCCAGTATGGCAAGCAGTTTTTATGCACAATTACAGAGGGAGGGGAAAGAACTTTAAACTTGTTTTTACATGATTGGCTAATTTCTCCTAATGGGTACAGGGGCACTTGGGATTGGTAGGTTTATTTTCTGGTTTGCGCGGGCTCTAGCTTAGTTGCCTGTGATTGACGGGAAACGGCTAAACAGGCAGAGTGGAATGTCAGATAAGCTAGGTTTACACAGTCACTGCATGTAAATTAACTTTGGTATGGGAGCTGGAGGTTTGAACCAACATAGAGCCCACCAGGAGAGTGGCTAGCGCCACAGAGTCTACTGCAATCTAAGCAAAGGAATGTCCGGAAGGGGCTTATCGCTTAATAAGAGTTCTAAGTACAAACACTGCTTAAGACACTGTATAACTACACAATCAGTCACTACCTGGCACCCAACATGTGCCTAATTCTACAGGGTCTGAGGCAGGATTTAAAGTACTAAGAATTCATAAAATACAATGAACGTGAGGTAGGGATATACAAAATATAATGAACGTGAGGTAGGGATATATAAAATATAGTGAACGCTTCTTTTACAGCAAGTATAGCTTTTTGAGTTTCTGGGGTCCCTCAATCAGAATTCCTCAGCCCAGGGTGTCTGCTTTCCACCCTCCAGGCGCCATTCATTCATTCAGCCAACAGCCCTGTGCCCGTCCGTTCTGGGCCCTGGGGATGCAGAGACGAGGCGGACACAGCGCCTCTCCTCGAGGAGCCCGGGGCCTGCAGCCTTCCGTGTGGCTCACAGGCCTCTGATCCCTTCCGCAGCCCCGGAGTCTCTCAAGCTGGACCCTGCCACCGCCCACCCGCTCCTGGAGCTCTCCAAGGGCAACACGGTGGTGCAGTGTGGGATCCTGGCCCAGCGGCGCGCCAGCCAGCCCGAGCGCTTCGACTACAGCACGTGCGTCCTGGCCAGCCGGGGCTTCTCCTGCGGCCGCCACTACTGGGAGGTGGTCGTGGGCAGCAAGAGCAGCTGGCGCCTGGGCGTCATCAAGGGCACGGCCAGCCGCCAGGGCAAGCTGAACAAGTCCCCCGAGCACGGCGTGTGGCTGATCGGCCTGAAGGAGGGCCAGTATGAGGCCTTCGGCTGCCCTCGGGTGCCCCTGCCCGTGGCAGGCCACCCCCACCGCATCGGGCTCTACCTGCACTACGGGCAGGGAGAGCTCACCTTCTTCGACGCCGACCGCCCCGACGACCTGCGGCCACTCTACACGTTCCAGGCCGACTTCCAGGGCAAGCTCTACCCCATCCTGGACACGTGCTGGCACGAGAGGGGCAGCAACTTGCTGCCCATGGTGTTGCCCCTGCCCAGCGGGTCTGGCCCCCTCAGGCCCCTGGAGCCCACCAAGCTGTAGGGCCGCCCTGGGTCCCGCAGGCCCATGGGCCCATCCCAGCGGGGCACTGGGGACCCGAGGGATTCTGTGGGGCCCCGAGGTGACGTTTTCACTGTCTGGGAAGGTCTTCTAGCCTGTGTGCCCCAGGAACACTTTTTTGTTTTTAGAGACAGGGTCTGGCTACATCACCCAGGCGGGTCTTGAACTCCTGGCCTCAAGGGATCCTCCTGTCTCAGCCTTCCAAAGTGCTGGAATTCCAGGTGTGAGCCACTATAATTGGACCCTTAGGATGACCCTTAGGATGACAGGGAGAAGGTCCCCAGGTCCCCAGGCTCTTTTTTGCCAGCCAGAGGCATATTTGCTCACTTCTGCCTGAAGAAGTAGAGCCAGCCATGCCATCCATGGAAACACTGCACTCCTGGGTTCATCCTAGTCAGGGTCTCTGTGCTTACGCTTCCAAGTGAGCCCAGAAATATTTCCACGCATTTTTGCCTTTTGATTGTGAACTTTCAACAACTATTAAAAAAATAAATGTGACATCAATTCTTTCTCTTTAAATGACTTGCAAACATTAGTGGCTCCAAATGCACATGTCTCTAGGCTCAAGTCTTTAAAAGCAGCTCTAACCTCTGGTGGGGCCACACCTCACGTCCACCTCCTGCCCACTTGGCCTATGGTTGGAGTCACACTGCTACTCTATCACTGCTCTGTCCTCAAATACCTCTCTGATTCTGACAGCAATGAACTATTCAAAACAGAAGCAAGTAGGAGCCAAATAGAGCATGGCCCGCCCCTAAAAGTCATGGGAGTGGAAGCCATGTCCAGGTACAGCAAGCCTGCCCCTGGTCACAGCTGATGGAGCAGGTGTCCACCCCAGACCAAGGCTGAGCCTGGGTGCAAGCATCTCAAGCTCTGCCACTGCCGTCCTCTCTCTGGGGATAGCCATGAGCTTTCGTTACTAAGGGGTGAACATAAGAGAGGGCTGCCGCTTTGGGCTTAGAAGCATCATGTAAGATTTTGAGTGTGTTCCACTTTGTTTCTGCTGTTAGCCCCTTCATCTACAGTGCCTTTTTTTTTTTTTTTTTTTTTGAGTTGGAGTTTCACTGTGTCGCCCAGGCTGGAGTGTAGTGGCACGACGATCATAGCTCACAGCAGCCTCGACCTCCTGGGCTCAGGTGGTCCTTCCAACTCAGCGTCCTGAGTAGCTGGGACTACAGCTGCGTGGCACCATGCCCGGCTAGTTATTTTGCCTTTTTTTGTAGAGATGAGGTTTTTCTATGTTGCCTAGGCTGGTCTTAAAGTCCCGGGCTCAGGCAATCCTCCCACTTTGGCCTCCCAAAGTACTGAGACTACAGGAGTGAGCCGCTGCACTTGGCCTGTAGTGCTTTTCATTTAAATTTAATTAATATTTTTTAGAGACAGTGTCTCGGTCTGTCACCCAAGTGGGAGTGCAGTGCTGAAGTCATAGCTCGCTGCAACCTCCATCTCCTGGCCCCAAGTGATCCTCCTGCCTCAGGCTTCCAAAGTGCTGGGATTACAGGTGTCAGCCACTGCACTTGGCCTGTTGTCTTTTTTGTTTTGTTTTTGTTTGTTGTTTTTGAGTTGGAGTCTCACTCTGTCGCCCAGACTGGAGTGCAGTGGCCGCTCCCGGCCACCTTAGCCTCGACCTGCTGGGCTCCGGCGGTCCT